GCCGGCTCGTACCGGCGTGGGTTCGCCTGACCGGCTGTGGGGTGCTGCTGTGGTCCCACGGGAAGCCTTTGGCGTGGGCTGGAGCTGGGTGGGGAGGGCAGCGCTGGCAGAGCCCGAGAAGGTTGCTGTGATGAACGTGGGTTTCAAGGCAAATGGGATGTGGGCAGCAGGGGCGCAGCACTGCCTCAGGGTGCCGTGATGGTTCAGGAAGTGGGGTGGAACACGGCACAAGCTCGTATCGGAGGATATCCACTGTTTATTAGTTGTAACATGAATCACTCGGCTCGGGGCTGAATTAATTTCAATTGAAAATAAATATTATATGTAAAAACAAAATGTGGGCGAGTCGAGGCTTTGCTTAGCCTACGTAAATGATGCCAATGTGGACGACTCCTGAGGAGTTTGCACAAGGGCAAGGTCCTGCCACAGGCTTAATGCTAAATCCCCACTTTCCTCTTCATCTCAGGGATTCTGTCTCGAGTGCCCCAACCTGAACTAAGAGCTCTCTCTCCTTCAGCAAAGTCAGCCCAGGAGAAGGGCCACCCTGCCTTGTCCTAGAGCCCAGTCAGGTCCCAGAGAAGAGGACAGAGGGCTCTGCGTTCCCTCCAGCCAGCACGTTCTTTAGGGTAGACGTGAGTAGCAGCAACAGGGATTTGAAAGGAACAGAGAAAAACGGAATGATGGAAAGCGGCAAAGGCTAAGCCTGTGCTTCAGGAAGCTGTTAGTCTCATGTAACAGCTAAATGAAAAGTGGAGCTTGTGGTTAAGAGACTGTGGGATATCGTGTGTTTTAGACATAAATGAGACTGTGTTTTGGTCTTGGGGACTTCTAGAGCCCTTGAAAAGTTGGGAAATACATGGTCTCTCTTGAAATTATTACTGTGGTTTCCTTTGGAGTTTGAATTCATTTCTGCTTTCACTTCCTCTTTTCCACCTGCACACTTAGTTATTTAAAACGGAGTTGTCGGGTGTTGTTACTATGCAATATCACCAGCCCGGGTCTTTGCTGGTCATCAGGCTACGTGTTTGGACTCTTTGGTGCTTTCACACCATTTTTGGTCAGAAGGTACCCGTGCAGCAGCCAGGTTATTGCCCTGGGTGCAGACAGTGCCCGCTTTTAGCTAGGCCCTGCTCACGGAGAGCTGACGCCAGCTCGCACCAGACGCTTCTGCGTGCAGCTGTGGGGCTGCTGCATCTAAGGCGTCAAGTCCAAGGTTCACAAGCGGGATTCCTTTTGTCCCCACCTTGGCATTTGCTGTGTTACTGGCACTTGCTGTGCTGCTCCTTGTGCATTCCTGGCTCTGGGCCTTCCCGTGCCAGATGCCACCGTTGGGGCTGCTGGCCTGACCCACCCATCAGCTGCGTGGGGCTGGGCGAGGAGGGAGGACGGCGCTCTTAACCGTGAGGGAGGCCACCCCCTGTGCCCTCCCTGCTTCCCTTGGCACAGGCGTTGTCAGCCCAGGGCAGAGGAGCTTGTGACCTGGGTCCTGTTTTCTCCCTTCTTCCATCCCAGGCTGGATGAGGCTTGGAGCAACCTGGTCTAGTGGAAGGTGTCCCTGCCCATGGCAGGGGGGTTGAACTAGATGATCTTTAAGGTCCCTTCCAACCCAAACCATTCTGTGATTCTTCCCTGGACGCTTAGCAGAGATGTGCTCGTGTAACTAAGAACCCTTTGACGCTTGGTCCAGCCTTCCCTGTCCCTAGATAAATGTTGGGAAAGCACAAAATAGGCCTGGGTGTAGGCGTGCGTCTCTGCGCGGGGGTGGGAGGCGGGGGCACGCTTGAAGCTCTGCAGATGTGTTGCAGTGTCAGCTGCGTGTTTCACTTCAGAACGTGCTGCTGTGCACCCAGACCGTAGGTACCGGAGCTCCCCTGCGGTAGCACGGCTTTCCATGCGGCCTCTGGCGCTGCGAAGGGTCGCCCTCCCTTCCCCAGCACCGTCTCTGGGCTTTAAAGCCCTGTCTGTAGCTTCTGTCAGTCCACCGTCCTCCGCACGTCTGCGGGAAGGAGTTGCACGCATGGGGCCTGTCCTGCTGGGACGGTTGTGGCTTTCTCAGCTGTTGTTTTATGACTGCCAGTGTGTGATGGGTAGCCCTCTCTAGAAATATGGATGTACATCACTAGAAAGGTCATTTTCCACAAGACGTGGCCAGACCCATGAGCGCTGCTGCAAGATGTGGATTTATGGGAATTTTTTGTTTCCCTTCACCCTTACCTTTCTCCTTCTATTGCAGGTGAAGGACTTCTGGTCTGAAGCAGAGGGTGACAAAAGCTGCTCTGTCTCCAAATCCATCATGGAACAGGTGAGTTTCAAACGTGACTGCAGGCAAAAGTGCTGGCTTGCATCCTCCTTGTCTTCCTTGGAGTTCCTGCAGGACCCCAGCACTGCTCCGCTCCGTCACGAGTACAGATGAAAAAGTGGATTGAAGCACTTCCTTGTTACCTCGCAGTGTGACGCTCCCCTTTCGACTGCAGGCTGGAGGTGTGGCTGTTTGAGAGGCTGCCACGTTTATTGATTAAGCTACGAACCACTAATAAATCAAACCGATAGACACACCACTGCGATCAATTTGTTGCCTTTTGTGCAGTATTAATCACAATTATGAAGCTGCTATTTATCATGCTTAAGTTTTATTAACTGCATTAACTGACTATTGGAATGTCTATCGTCCTCCTCGCCCCACCTAGTGTTGGAGCACAGTTATGACCCTCGTGGCTCTGCCCTCCCGCAAGACTGTTGCATAACAACCTCACTGATGGTGGTTCAGGGGGATAGGCACTGGTGTCCCAGTGAGCTTGGGTCACCCGGCGAGCCTCACTGCTGTCTGTAAGCATCCGTGCCCTCACTGCTGTCCGTAAGCATCCGTGCCCAGGTCATGAAAGATTCGCCTTCTGTTCATCTCTGACTGGTCATATACCTGATTTGCCATCTGTTTCCATTTCTGGACTCTCTCCTTTTTGTTGTCTTTCCTCCCTTTCTCTGCCCACTCTCCTCTCAAGAAAACAACCTGTCCTTAATTACTTTTTATGCACTTGTCCCCATTTTCCTACTCTTGCCCAGGCAATATGGGTCCTGTGGGATATTGCTGATACAGTTATGTAGATGGAGGTGGCCTTGCAAGGTTCCACTCCCCAAAAGGTACCTGAAACTCCCTTTCAGTGACCGGGTTCATCCTGGTTGCTTGTCGACTTCCCTGTGCGCTTTGGCAAGGCAAACCATTCTCCTTCAGCCTTGGTTCTTCTCCCTAGTTACAGTTCAGCCTACGGACCCTCTGCCCTTACAGGCAGGCAGTCTGCGTATCAGAGTGAGGGCTCTTTCTCGTTCTATGTCCGGGCTTACCCAACGGCCTGCTCTCTTAGCTGCTTAACTGAAATTACTGGATGGGCAGTCTCCTGGTTTACCCATGGCCCAGTGAGACCTCTCGCTCACATCAATCCGACTGCCTCCTGGCCTTCAACCTAACGGGTTTGGGGGCTCCGTGCCGCCTCACTTGAAGGCGGCAGGGTGCGTGGCGGTGGGGGCAGCACGTGCCTGGTACTGGGGGCAGGTGATACAGGCGCCAGTGAGCCAACATCTCGCCCTCCCTGTTCTCTTGGTGCTCTGCAGGGAGCTGAGCGGGTTTATTACAGCACTAGTCCAGATTCCTTTGAGGAGGGAGAAGAAATGTGAACCTCGGGGGTTTTTTTTGCAAGCTTGTTACCTCGTTTTCCCACCTTGTTACTGCTAGGCCATGATTACATTTCAGTGGGGAGCTGCTGGCTTCGTTCCACACAGGAAGCGGAATGCCCAATTCCCAAATACAGGGTTAAAAACCTTGCAAACACCGATGTCTGGATATAGGGAAGTGGGTGGGTTGTGCGGAGTCCGCATCTGTTGGGGAAGACGAGCTCTGGTCAGGGTTTCTGTCATTGCCACATATACAGGTTAAAAACCTTGCAAACACCGATGTCTGGATATAGGGTGGGTTGTGCGGAGTCCACATCTGTTGGGGAAGACGAGCTCTGGTCAGGGTTTCTGTCATTGCCACATCTGGAAACGAGGAGAAGGTGAGTGACTTTTACAAACCAGGGGTGGAAGAGCAGCGCTGTCTGTCACTCGCCACCTGACAGTTCTGTGCACGTATGCACGCGGGAGTGAGCGCGCGTTTCCTGAAGTCTTGCTAACACTATTCAGGATGCCCAAAGGAGGCCTGACAAAACGTGTTCAGGGTTGGAAAACAGAATCTGTGTCAACCTTTTGAGTGGGACTTTTCCTAAGCGTGGGTTTAACAGTGATTTTTTTTTCTTTTATTTTTTTTGATGTTTAAGATCACTGGATCTGTCCAGATGGAGAGTGCACTGCTGTACACCTTCCTGGAGGCATCCTCTGACTGCAAGTTCAGACAGCAGCTGCGTTCCCTGCAAAGCCAGGGGATTGGGCCGTTAGTGGCAGGCAGATACTGCTACGATGACTGGGAACTTCAGACCGATGGCAACCGGAGTGGCCACATGCAGAATGGCGACCTAGGTGAGTGCCCTTCCCTCCATCCCACGTGTCTCTCCGAAGGTGGTGGTCTTTCCCCTTTTCCCATCTTTGCTGCTGCTCTGTTTCGACAGAGTAACACGTTTTCCATTGAGAAACGTCACGGTGTGGCTGGCGGTGGTGTTGGTTGGGATTTTAATACTTGGGATAAAGACAGCTAGTGCGTAGCAGTTTATCTTCCTATGGCTTTCTGGAGCGCCTGTCACCCCGGGGTTTGGTCTGCAGGACATCAGACCAGGGCCACAGGGCTGGTAGTAAGAGACTGCTGTCCTCGGGGAGCGTGGCGTTAGGCCTCCGACTGCTCCTCAGGGTGTACCAGTACTTGGGGTAGGATTTTGGAACAACTCGTGTTCTGGTACTGAGTCAATCCTTTTCTGCTGTACCGGTGTGGTGGAAGCTGTTCCTCAGATAGTTTCTGGTGCTGTTCCTGCTTCCCTAGTCACCTGCAGGGTGGCTATTGCCCCTTGCCCAGGATGTGCCAGCTGGCACAGTGACCTCAGCCTCAGCGGCGTGAGGAAGACGAGCTCTCCCTCACAAATCCGCGTGGGCCTCGTGTCCCGAGTGACAACGGGAAGCTGTGCCAAAAGGAGATGGGACGAGGGGTAATGCCTTACACTAAAGGGTCGATTCAGATGAGATGTAAGGAAGAAATCTCTCTTGGTGAGGGCAGTGAAACCCTGGCACAGGTTGCCCAGAGAAGCTGTGGATGCCCCATCCCTGGAAGTGTCCAAGGCCAGGCTGGATGAGGCTTTGAGCAACCTGGTCTAGTGGAAGGTGTCCCTGCCCATGGCAGGGGGGTTGGAACTGGATGGTCTTTGAGGTCCCTCCCAACCCAAACCGTTCCGTGACTTTATGAGATGCTGTATTTTAGATGGTGCTGATAGCAGTCACTTTGGGAAAATCGTGCACATGCTGTCACCTGCCCTCTTTAGGCAGGGTGCGGGTTGCAGCTGGCCAGTACAAGTTTTGCTTGGAGACACTCTAACCTCCCCTGTAGTGTTTTTTGGGCAGGGTGAGGCTGCACTTCCCCTAAACTAAGGATAAAAACCCCGCTGTTTGCACAGTCTCTGGAAAACGAGTCGAGCGCACGCAAGCGAATCGCAGTGCGTGTGGCTGTTACGAACGCGCTGCGATGGGAGTGGGGAGGGGGCTGTTTCTGGAGATGGACTAAATGCTGCGGGTCAACTGACCTGCGCCGAACCCGGTCTGACTACAGCCTGTGACCTAAATCCCATGGTATGTGTTGGCAGCGTTTGGCCCTGAGGTCAACGAAGAAGTTGTCCGGATCATTGCCGCTCAGCTCGCTGAGATTGGAGACCAGTTTGATAAAGAAATCAAAGCAAGAGTAGTAAATGATCTAGTGCAGCACTTTCTGAATGAGAATCTGTCCAGAGAGGTGAGTGAAAAGCAACCTGACTAGCAGTTCCCATCCCACTGCTGCGCGTCCTTCCTGCTGTGACTGTGAGGCAGCAACCCCTGTTATCTTTGCTCGCTCGCTGCTTTCGTTGCTGCAGTCTCAAACTTCAGCCCAGAGGACTGGTTACAGGTGATGCTGTATCCTGTGGCAGCTGTCGTGCTGCAAACTGGGTTCCTCGGGCTCATCTCCGTTCTGTGGATGGGGAAATTGAGAGAGTTGTGGAGAAGGATTGACTGCCGGAAGGATTTTGTCCTCTTTATGGACAAAAATAATGGCCCAATGGCTTCTCTTTGAAACTCGACTGTCTGGTTGAGGCTTGTCCTTAAGATCTTTGGGCTTTTCCCGGGCTACGTGTGTTGTCTCCCTTTCTTTTTGCCTTGGGGAGCAGCCGAGCTCAGAGCTAGGCACCCTTGCTGCCAGCGGCAGGCAGGTGGCCATGCCCAGTGGGAAGGGGAGCGGCACCCTGCGCGGCGTTAGAACAAGCCCAACGGCTGCGAGCGGAGCGCCGCTTCTCCAGCAGCTGTTGCACCGAGATCCCTCTCTCCCTTCCATCCAGGAGATAACCCTGGAAGGGCTCGTGCAAGCCATGCCCTCGGACATGGAACGGGAGAAGGCCATGCTGGTGCTAGCAATGGTCTTGACTAAGAAAATCGCGAATACGGTGCCGTCCCTTCTGCAGCGTGTCTTCAGCACCACCGTGAACTACATCAACCAGCAGCTCCACAACTACGTTGTCAGAATGGTGAGTG